GTCAGATGGTGTTAAACAAAATGCTTTGCCTTTAAATCTTCGCCTTTTCTTCTTATTGCTAGAAAAGGTATCTTAACCACGCTTTTGTCAAATGGCTAGATTTGCACACATTGCAAATTGAATTTGCTACTCTGAGAAGATCAGTAGCATAGCCCTTTATGGGGAAAGTAAGCTAAAAGTTATCTTGGCTTGATGCTCTTCTGGTTAATAAAGACAGGAGCTGATGGGTTACAGAGGCAGGTTCACACAGAAATGTGCAGATGCCTATTAACATTTTATGAACATCAGTACTGTTGTTACCTGCTGTATTACTGCTATTGATCTGTAATCTTTAATGTGGAATTCATTGATTGCTGGTTAACAGTTATAAGTAAGTCAGTAAATCACTTTGATTCTGACTTGATTTAAATCACAGAGTTAAAGAGCTTTTCCCAGTGGCAACCAAGAGGGAATAAATCATGAAGAGACAATAAACACTCTTTTTCTTCTTTAACAAAGAGAATACAGAGACAAAAAAAAAAAAGAAAAAAGAAAGTATCAAGACAGATTTAAGGCAAAAGGAAAAGGAGGAGTTACTTCTTCACATAATATTTAATGTAATCTAAGAATTGTTTACTAAAACCTGTATTGGACAGGAAGTGCTTCAAAAACTAAGTCAAAGAAATGAATGGGCAAAGAATGCTATTAAATACAACACGTACATATTCTGAAATACAGGCTATTGAAGACTGAGGGATTAGAATTACAGAATCCTTAGAGCTGGAAGGGACCTTTAAAGGTCATCTAGTCCAACCCTCCTGCAATGAAGAGGGACAAGCACAGCTAGATCAGGTTGCCCAGGGCCTGACTCAGCCTCATTTTGAAAGTCTCCAAGGACAGAGCATCCACCACATCTCTAGGCAACCTTTCCCAGTACCTCACCATGCTCACTGTACAGGTCTTTTTCCTTATATCCAACCTTAATCTACTCTCTTTAAGCTTGAAGCTATTTCTCCTTGTTCTATCATCACAAATCCTGCTAAAGAATCTGTCCTCCTCTTTCCTGTAGCTCCCCTTTAGATACTGAAAACCCACCATCAGGTGACCTTCAGGCCCTTCTCTTCCCCCCAGCCCCAGCTCTTTCAATCTGTCCTTGTAGGACAGCTATTCCATCCCTTGGATTACTTTTGTGGCCCTCCTCTGGACATACTCCAACAGGTCCATGTCTCTCCTGTACTGAGGACTCCATATCTGGATGCAGTACTCCAGGTGAGGCCTCACCAGCACAGAGTAGAGGGACAGGATCACCTCTGTCAACCTGCAAAACTGTCTACATCCCTCTGGATGGCATATCATCCCTATGGTGTCACTGTCATTGTCACTGATGAAGATATTAAAGGGTATCAGTCCCAGCACTGACCTCACCCCTGCGGGATACCACTCATCACTCATTTCCATCCAAACACTGAGCCATTGACCACCACACTCTGGACTCGATCTTGTAGCCAGTTCTCTGTCCACTGAACAGTCCACCCATCAAATCCATATCTTTCTAATTTGAAGAGAAGGACATTGTGGGCTATCGCATCAAAGGCAGTACTGAAGTTCAGTACTTTCAGGCTCTTTCGCTGTCCACTGATGCAGTGAAACCATCATAAAAGGTCACTAGGTCAATCAAGCAGGATTCGCCCTTGGTGAAGCCATGCTGGTTCTCCTATAAGACCTCTCTGTATTCCATTTGCCTCAGCACAGCTTCCAGCAGGATCTACTCCATCTGGGTACAGGCGGGAGACTGACAGGTTGATAGTTCCTAGGGTCATCCATTTTACCCTTCTTAAAAATGGCTGTCATGTTGCCTTTTTTCCAGTCACTATCAGACTTCATCCGATCGCCACGATTTTCAAATATCATTGAGAGTAGCTTGGTGACTACATCAGCCAATTCCCTCAGGAGTCTGGGATGCATCTCATTGGGACCCATAGACTTGTAGATGTTCAGATTCCTCAGGTGGTCGTGAACCTGATCTTCAGTTACAATGGGAGGGACATTTTTTCCCCCAATTCCCTCCTACCAAACCAAACCAAACATTTGAGGGCTGTGTGACAAGCAGCTATCAGAGAAGACGTAGGCAAAAAACTGTTAAGTACCTTAGCCTTCTCCTTGTCTGTTGTTACCAGTCTGCCTGTGTCACTCACTAGGGGTAATACACCCTCCTGGACTTTCCTTTTCTGCTTGAGGTACCTGTAGAAGCCTTTCTTGTTCCTTATTTCAAGCTTTCCTGAAACATCCCTACACAGCCTAGCAGCTTCCTTATACTCTTCCCATAATACCCATCCCTATTTCCACTGCATTTTCTTCTTGCTCTTCAGTTTGACCAACAGGTCTCAGTTCAGTCATGCGAGTCTCCTGCCTTTCTTTCCCGACTTGCTTGTGATGGAGGAGCTCTTGCATACTAAGGAAAGCTTCCTAAAAGATCTGTCAGCTCTGCTCTGCACCCTTACCCATGAGGACAGTTTCCCAGGGTGTTTGTTGACTAACTCCCTAAAGCACTGGAAGTTAGCTTTCCTAAAATTTAGTGTCCTAGCTTTACCCTTTGCCTATCATACATCCCTCTAGAGCATGACTTCAACCACAGCATGGTCACTCCAGCCCAGGCAGCCTCCAATCCTGATGTCACCAATCAGTTCATTTGCACTGATGAGCAACAAGTCCAGTACTGCAACCCCTGGTGAGGCCTTCTATTACTTGACTCAAGAATTTATCCTCAGTCATTCCAGGATCTCTTGGATTGTCTACAGCTTGCCATGTTATTTTTCCAGCAACTGTCTGGGTGACAGAAGTCCCCCAGCAGGATGAGTGCTTGCGATCCCAGTGCCTCCTGTAGCTGGAGGTAGAAGGCCTCTACACGACCAGGTAGCCTGTAGCAGACAGTGATCACAAGGCTCCCTTTGCTGCCTCAGTCTCTGTTACCTACACACTTTGAACTTGTTCAAGGCTATTCTTAGGGACAGCTCTTCACATTCTACTTTTCTGATACAGATAGCAACACCCCCTCCCCTCCTTTCTTGTGTGCCCCTTCTGAACAGTTTGTAGGCATCAATAGCCACACTTTCATCATGGGAATCATCCCTCCAGCTTTTGATGACAGAAACTATAGCACGATTTTCTAGCACAGTAGCTTCCAGCTCCTTCTGTTTGTTTCCCAAACTGCATGCATTGGTGTAGAGGCACTCCAGCAGGGCAGCTGGTCCTGTCACCTCTTTAAAGGATAACTCCTTAATTCCTCTTAAGTATTTTCCTTGATTTTCCCCATAGCCGTCTCCTATTGCCCCAGCAGTCACTGCCTCATCATCACAAAATTTTGTACGTGCTGCAGCACTGCCAGCACTTCTGAAGGCAGCAGGTCCTTCAAGGCCCCTGCTAGCACCCTGTCCATCTAATCTAGTTATGCTATCCCACATCTTACCATAGGAAGGCTCGCTTTACCTCCCGTCACCCTTCAGACCTAGTTTAAAGCCCTTTCAATGAGCCTCACTAGGTTTTCCCCAAGGACCCTTCTCCCTCTTTGAGGAAGGAGAAGTATCACACAGAAGGAGTACTGGTGCTCGACACACCTTTGATCTGGGTAGTTATGTCTGTTTTCTCTAGTTCTGGATTTTATTTTTTTTTCCTACTAAAAACTAGTTTGGGAGTGCTTCTGCCATGTTACTTAAGCTTACTTACTGCACATAAATCTTTTCCTATCCCATAATAAAAACCAAGGACATACTGAATTTCCATAAAACCACAGCTACCAAGCTTTATAAATCAGTATGAGTCAAACTAAACAAAATTCCACTCTAGTTAACGCTGATGAAGTTCCAAATTCCCCCAGAGCCCAGAAACATTGGCATAGTGAGCAATTTATGTAACAGTTCTGTGGAAAACCCTCAGAAGAACTGCAGAAATGCTCTAGTTTTCCTTTACCACAGGAATGATGCGCAAAGCAATATAAAATTAATTTTAATGTCAATGAGTTTTTTCCAGACAGAATAAAGAAGAGATGTCCACACTTAGCTTCTTTAAGACTCTTGGGAGACCTTGGGAAGCTTTATACTATTAGCATTTGTTAAGCAAGAAACTTTAAAAGTTATACCCAAACAATATGGGATGATTCATTCCTGTGTAGATCTGAAATCAAAGTGCCCACACTTCCGCCCCCCCCCCCACCCCCCCCCCGGGAAATATTATTCATAACAACACATTATTCTTACAGCATAGCTTTCTTCCAAGGCTGAATTTCAGAATCACCAGTAGATTATTATATTCCAAGAAACACGATTTTAGACCTACAAAAATACTTTCCACTATTGCTCCAAGTTTAGTCACAGTAACATCCTAATCTTTCTTAAGAAAGGTAAAACAACACAGTTTAACTCTACTTAGTTTTAGACGTAAACGATTTCACAGTACTTCAGTGATAAAGCAGGATGTCTACAGAAGAACTAAGGACTCCACTGTAAGAGTGAGCTGTCTTCTTGGGGAGTGCATTTAACCGTTAAAGTATTCCCCTCTATCATAATATCATTATACTTACCTTTTTTCTCAAGACTTACCCATCCATACCCACATCAAGACAATCAAGACAATGTATTCCAGAAATTTATAAAGGTTGAAATTAATTTCACAGGGACAAAATAAAGTCACTGGACTAACTATTTTTATTTTAGTTATTACATACAGCATGCAACTGAAATTGATCTTACCTTCAAACATGGTATATGGAAAGGGTGATTCAGACAGGAAGGATTGAACTGAACTAGAATGCACTAGCAAAGCATTGATCTACCAATGCCTTCTTAGAAAATAAATTCTGGAGACATTGTGCCAAAGATAGTTTAATGTTAATATCTTACAACATTAAAAATGTTTCATAATCTCAACATAAGCATTGATTCTGTTAACATTTTTATTGTGGCATTTACTCATTTTTGTTTTCCTTCTCCAGTATCCATTTTAAATAATGTTTAAATAACAATTCTTCCAGTGAATTAGTGAATATTAAGATGTTTACAAAATTTCCTCAGACCAACCATTAGCATAGTACTTAACTAATAATGCTGAATGACAAGAGTTCATATCCCTTCTTTTGCTGGTTCAGACTCTAATAACAATAATGCAGCACCAAAAATATCTTTCAAGATTTGTTTGTAAGTATTAGCATACTTTCTCTTTTTAAAAAATAATTTAGAGTTCTGTGCCACTTTTGCTACTATTCCATTTACTTCCCTGGTTTGTTGCAGCACCTTCTTTTTGTCACATGTGACTTTCAGGAAGGAAGGGAAAACACAAACCTCCTCTAATGAGGAGAAGCTTAAGCTTTGATCCTGAAATCTCATATGTAATTCACTCTGCAACAAAATATAATTCCCTACTTGAGAACCTTAGAGTTAGGTGACTAATATATTTTAGCCTTCTGTAGGCAGCTATTGAGTCTTTTCTGTATTGCAGAGTATACACAAGTAAATAATGTTTTACAGGTGTATATTTTCAAATTCTTAATTATGTCAAATCATAAAAAGTAGCAAATAAAAATCATCACTAAAGAGAATGTATTCTCATTATAATGCAATGTAGACAAAATTCTGAGGTTTATGTTCAGCTTTTATGCACATAATCACGTGCTGACACCAAAATATAAAGTCAACCTTTAAGGCCTTTGGAAGAGCCCAAGCCACCTTTTGCCCAGGCTTACATTTCCATTTTCCTCTCATCTACTGATCCCATCTATACTTGGCAACTTGTCCTCTAACTTATGCTGAGTATTTGAACAAACATCCTACCTATATATGAACAGAAGAAAAGTAGGGGGAATGAAAATGGAGTGATACCAAAATTTTAGATTACGTATCCTTAATGATTTACTGACATCTTTTTCAAACCAGGCACATTAACAAGTAAGCTGCAACTAAAATTCATGTATTACCTCAGGAAATCCGATTCAGATGCAAAGATTAAACTGTTACAATGTATAATTCATGTTATTAGCATGAAGTTATAATTGCAGGCAAACACATCCTGCCTCCTTAGTAGTTCTTTTAAATCTGTGTCAAATACGATAAAGATGATTGTTTAAATGATTTTATCAACAAAGAATGTGATTTATCTCATAAAAGCTTCTCAAATCCACGCATCTTCTTTTTTCAACAGGCACTTAAAATATATGTATAACAAACTTTTGGATACCTTTAAAAATCAATTTGCTGTAGTTTCAGATTTTCCTGAGTAGACTCAAAATGAATCTCCACTAGTCTATACTATTTCAGTGTTAAGTAATGAGGCAGCACATTGTTCCAAAACTGTTCTGAATTATGCAAACCATTTGCTATGCGCTGTTTTGACTTCATTTTTTGTTTGGAGCTGTTTGGTACAGCAGAACTTTCTGTCCTTCCTGGTTTCCTGGTTTTGCTTTTCTTTTGTGGAAGCTTATTATTAACAATTCTTCTTTCATCTTTTGTTTTTTCTTCTTCTTCCTCTCCTTCTTCTCCCTTTCCATCCTCCTCTTCTTCCTCCTGACCCTCATCCTCTTCATCTCCTCCTTCTTCCCCTTCCTCTACTTCTTCCTCCTCTTCCCGTCCTTCTTCCTCTTCTTCCTGTTCTCTTTCCTCTTCTTCCTCTTCCTTTTCCTCTTCTTGCTCTTCCTCTCCTTCTACCTCCTCAGCTCCCTCTTCTTCCTCAGCTCCCTCTCCCTCTTTCTCCTCAATTTCCTCTTCCTCTTCTTCTACTCCTTCTTCATTCTCTTCTAGTTCCACTTCCTCTTCTTCCATCTCTTCTCCCTCTTCTTCTTCATCTTCTTCTCCTTCCTCTTCTTCATTTCCTCCCTCCTCCTCTTCCTTTTCATCTTCTTCTCCCTTCTCTTCAGTTTCTATCTCTCCTCCTTCCTCTGCCTCCTCTTCTTCTTCTCTTTGCTCTTCTCGTTCATCCTCCCCCTCTTCTTCCTCTTCTACTCCATCCTCCCTCATCTCCTTAGCCCTCTTATTTCCATCTTCCTCCTCCCATTCTTCTTGGGATCTCTCTTCTTCTTCCCCCCCTGACAAGGCTTCTTCTAACTCCTCTCCACCATCTCCTTCAGTCTCCCTTTCTTCTTCTTCTTCTTCTTCTTCTTCTTCTTCTTCTTCTTCTTCTTCACTTTCCTTTCCATCTTTTCCTTCCTGTTCTGTCTCAACCCCTTTTTGTTCCTCCTCCTCTATATTTTCATCTTCTTCTTCGCTCTCATCTCTTCCTTCACTTTTATCCTGTTCCTCCTCTTCCTGTTCAGTTTGTTTCTCTTTTACATGCTCCTCCTCTTCTTCAATATCCTCTTTTTCTTCTTCACTCTGTATTTCTGCTTCATCTATCAATCTGCCTTCTTCATCTCCTTGAGCTGTGACATGTTTTTCATGACTCACTTCAACCTCTTCTGCATCCCCATTTTCACCATCTCTTTCAATTGGCGATTCATCTCGTTCATTTTCTTCATCATCTTTTCCCTCTTCGTCTTCATCACTTTCTGCTGAAATGATTTTGTCCGTATCTTTTTCAACCTCAGCCTCTTCACCTTCCTCCCCTAGTTCAACTTCACTGTCAACTGTTTCATTCAGTTGACAGCCATTTTCTTTTTCACTTTCATCTTCTTCATTGTCTTCGCTCTCCTGCTCTTCATTGGATTCCTCATCATTTTTTGTTCCTAACTGTCTGTCTTCATCAAGTTTAGCTTCAGAATACGTCTCTTCCTCATTCAGGCTTCCTGTATCAGTGGCTTCTACATACTCTTTTTCATTGTTTGTAGCTTGCATCCCTTCAATCTCACTGCCTTCTTTTTGTAATTCCAGATCTTTTACATTTTCTGTTTTCACTGACTTCTGGATCTCCCTGTATTCATAGCAGTACCCTTCATTTTCCCTACTTTCAAGAACATATTTTGCAATATCATTACTATTTTCTTCACTTGAAGATGATGATGTAGTTACAGCTATTTGTTTAAATAATGGGTCCTTTTTTTTAAACTCCCTCTGTTTTTCAATGCTTTGTTTCCCTCTTTCACATGTATTAGATTTTTCAACAGCATTCTTCATTTTGTTTCTACTTTCTACTGCTTCTTGACTTTCTTGCTTTTTAACAAGATTGCATTCTTCTACAATTAATGAACCATTATGGGGCTGATTATTGGATGCAGATGGAAGTACATCAATTTTAAGGGATTGCTTAGACCTAACAACTTTTAACTTTTTATCTGAATCATTTGTTTTTTCATTGGGAAAACCATATGTTATTCCCTCCCTGATAATTTCAGGATTTTCTGAATATTCTTTTTCCCTTTTACCTAATTTGCATTTGTCCCTGCTAACGTGTTGAACACCACTTTTTGAAGTACTAACACTTTGTGTATGCTGAGATTTACTTTTCCTTGTATTTTTTTTGGCTGTGGACTTCCCTACAAAGTCATTACTGTTCTCTAAATCTGCATTCTGTTCTGGCAACTTTGAAAGTGAAGACTGCTTTTGCAAGGAACCAGAATCTAATTCTGATCCTTTCTGCATGAAATCAAAATCAACAGTTTTCAGCCCACCTTTACCATCTCTTTTCAGTTTCAGATTTTTATTGTTCTTCTATTCCACATGAGAAGCAGAAAATTAAAAAGAAAGAAGGAAAGCATTAAGAACAAGCGACAGCAAAAGAAAATACTACAGAAACAACAAGAAAAGAAACAGTTTATGTGATGTAACTAAAAGATAGCATAAAAGGTGGAGTATTATAAATGAAATGGATTTAGAATTACACATATTAGAAGAATGCAACATGCTTTTGATGGCAAATCTGTGCTCTTTTTTCACTATGCAAGCATTCAAAGTGAATGTAAGAACTCTAGCCGTGATTATAGCTAGAGTACATGCAATGTGTGAAGGAGGCAGTGTGAACAGAGGAAAAAGCTGAAGTTCTATTACACCATCCTCTACTTGGGATATCTTCTGATGCACTCACTGTTATGCTTTTTCTAAACATTTTAAGAATCTGTTGACTTTCTGCTTTAAAACTTGCATTTACTTAGAAAATTCTTCAAAATGCTTGTTTGTTTTTTAATATAGAATGAAAGGGTAATGAAATATACCAAAATGCTGGAAGATTGGTATCATTTTAAAAGTGAAACAGGACAGTAATTCAAAAGTATTCTAATTTTATAACAAAGACTAGCATTATTGCTCCTTTAAATATACTCTGCTGATTTTCTGTAAATAAAATCTTTACTTATACTTTGTCCCAAACATCAATTAAAATAGTTCTGTTATTAAAACAACAAACATATAGGTTACTACCAGAAATTATAAAGTGAATGACAAGATCATAATAGTTTTCTTAGACTGGCAGATTATTATACTCTGTCATATCAGATAATGCTGGCACTACAAGCTGTATGTATCTGCACAAATCCGCTCTCACTTCAGTTAGCCTCTTAGAATTTTACATCATGGAAAACTCAAACATCAGCAAGAGGGGCCTATAAAATTTGCCTAGTGTTTGTTAAAACTCAAAGGATAACAAAGAAGTTCACAGGTCATACAAGAATTACAGATCTTTTAAGCATCAGTATAAGCGTATGTATACGTAATTAGTTACGATACCTTTTGTTTTTGAATTGGTGATAATTTTAAGGACTGGTCACTGGAGTTCAATCTCATCATATGTGTCTGCGAAGAGTGAAATCTCTGTTAAAGAATGAATATAAACTACAAAAGGTTGCATAACAACATCATTTCAACATTCTGAAAATACTTTCTCATTGGAGAACATAAAAATATTTTTCAAGACACATAATACCTATCAAATTGATAATTAAATAATATATGCTACTGTTATCATATAGTAACTTAAAACTTCACATTATTTCAACTGAAAAGATGGAGGATAACATTTTGAAAGGTTTCTCTGTATCTCCATCAGTGTCAAGAAACACATTCATTTATTCATTTATAAACTATGTCAATACATTTGATGTCAAATATGAAGTTTAAGGCTAGATAAACATTCTTTACTAGAACCTGAAACATGACTTAGCTGCTTTGCTCTCCCCATGCGCAAGATCAACTAAGCCGTAGATTACTTAGCAGAATATTTTACCATATTTAGGATGTCAGCTGTATCTCCAAGGTTTCTGTCGTTATTTTCAGCATCTGAATCTTCTGGAGAGCTTTCAGCAGGTTCATCTTTTTGATGCTTCTTTTCTTTAAGGTAAATGCAAACAATTAGCATTTAAGTAAATGATACATACCAAGCAGCACATCCCACTCTTGTATAAGAGATTATATTATCCCTGTTTTACTGACATCAGGCTGAAGTTTGGAGATTACTATTTCTCCCAGTCTAAAACACAGCAAAAACACTTCACCTAATTTTTATCAGTATTAAAATTAGGTGTAGCTCAAAAACCTAGTGTCAGTGTACTGATAATTTTATGCAGGCTTTTGAAGCACAAACATTACATGGGACAAAGCTTTTTCTGCCTTTTTTTCTAAATGATCTCTTTAATTCTAGTGGAACAATTAGACTAAATTATCTGCAGTCATATTCTCTACATTGCATATTACCTGTGTAATGGATAGAGATACCAAATTTAGTAACTCCAATGCAGCAACATAAAAATGTGCCTACAGCATTTTCAGATTCATGTCAAGTTCACTAGGTTTCATATGATACAAACCCAGAGGTTTCAGATCTCAGAGCACTCTGAAGACAATTCAATTTTCACCACGTTTAGCCTGGAACCAACATGGACATACTAGCAACTCTACAAACAATCACCTTAATTCCGACTGAATTAATAACTTTCAAGTTGAATTTGGCTGTCCAATGAATCTGAACTAACTTTCACATGGAAACACTGCATACTGCAGTCTTCAGCATTCCTCCTTCCAGGAAATCACACATGGTATGGAACTCAGGTAAGTACAGAACAGTACTAGAGAACCTGTGCACAAGTCCAGCCCAGTATCACTGTTGTCCAGATTTTGTCATGTGATTGGATACTCTGAATCCTGATTATCTTCGATATCAGAGAGCAAACAAGTACTTTTGCATTTCCAAAGGAAGAAGAAAGCTCTTATAGGAATTAGTAGACCTCTTTTCTTACTCAAGGTCTCTATTAGGCATTCCTGGGTCTTTAAGATTTAGTTTCCCCATCACTTTTTCCTCTGTAATTCTTTTTCTTAATGAAAGCAGAGAAAGTGGCTATTGATTTCACAGTATTTTATGCAGTCGTATTTCTACAGGACTGAGGAAACGTAAGTATAATTTAGCCATTGTTTTTTCTTTCAATTAAACTTATAAATCTTTAAGCATGCTTTCCAAACATGATCCAAGTTTAAGCCATTTCTTTTATGTGCTTCTCAACTTCTATGTTCTCATTCTGATACATGCCTATGAGTTAAGGCTGAGCCAGAACCTTCTTTTGTGTTCAAACTGAGCATTCATTTATGCTTAAGCAAAGCCAAACTACACAGCTCTCAGAAAATAACAGCAAAACCTGGAGACAAATCACCTTCTTCATGACGTCTCTCTTTCACAGGCTCAGATTCAGGAATATTTATTGTAGAAAAACATATTGGACTGGTGTTACTAGTCACATGCAGTGAAGATTTTAAGAAGCATTCTCCCAGTGGAGGCAGAGTTCGTGCCATCTGAATAATCTGTTCTGGAGACCGTTCCTTTAGAAGATTAAAAAACACATTGAGAAAATTCTGAGGGTAAGAGTTGAAAAAATAAACATAAGTAACCTCCCATACTTGACAGCAGTGCTTTCCTTTGGTTAATGATACAACACTGTACCTTTGTATAAACAAATATATACTGATTTCTTGAACATTTTGATTATTTATAGTCCTAAAAACTGGAGAGGTATATGAAGGGATATTTCAAATGGATTTTACAGAATAATTTTAAGCAGTCTTAAAATATAGACAAAGAAGAAAAAGTTATAGTTTACATTTACAAAACTACAGAACTACTACTAAACTAGAAACTTGCTCAAGCAATTCAAGGCTTCAGAGGTTCTTATTTTTTCCTATTTATTTACTTTTTACATTTCTAAGATATTTTGAAAAATGCAAAGCAATAGATGGTATTTTAGAATAAATGTAAGCCTTTCTCATACACATAAACAACCAAAATCTGGCAAATACCTATTCTTTTACTCCCTTCAATTTTGGGAAGAGGGTGAATACTCATTCTTTCTGCAAATTAACATTATACTCTTATTTTAATGAGACATATTTATGTAGGTGTTTGCTATCACTTCAGTTTAAAAAGCGTTTCCCATAAAAAGTACGGCAACTCTCAACAGCTCTGAATTTACCCTCTCTCGACGTCGTATTCGCGCTGATGTTAATTGTAACGTGTTTGTTACTAGTGAATCTCCGCTCATTTTAGAGACAGTAGAAATCAGACGGCTCTCATATAAGTCTTCTAAGAGTATTTCTTCAGATTCTTTTGGTCTTGGAGTAGCAAAAACCAGCATGTGACAACCACCACAAGCAACCTAGAGCACAAAACAAAATTCAGTTACTTCGTTTGCAAGTATCAACGCAAGGATCTTACTTTCTTACCATCATCACCAGTGATGTAGATTACAAGAAAACAGAATAAAAAATAAGAGATGTGAAGTTACTTCAAATCTAGTTTCTACTGACTTTAAATAAGAGTACATAATTACTATTCCTAATGATTAATAATCTATGTTTATTTCTCCTTAGTTACATTAAATCTATTTGCATTCAACAAAACATATGATAAGGCTAGGAAACCATAGAAACTGGATTGCTGGATCAATGGGCCAAGGTTAACTGTATGAGTTTCAATAGGGCCAAGTGTCAGGCCCTGCATTTTGGCCACAACAACCCCAGGTAACCCTATAGGCTTGGGGAGGAGTGGCTGGAAAGCTGCCTGATGGAAAGGGACCTTGGGGTACTGATGGACAACTGGCTGAATGTGAGCCAGCAGTGTGCCCAGGAGGCCAAGAAGGCCGATGGCATCCTGGCGAGCAGTACTAGGAAAGTCATCTTACCTCTGTACTCAGCATTGGTGAGGCCTCACCTCAAGTACTGTGTTCAGTTTTGGGCACCTCAGTACAGAAAGGACATTAAGGTGCTGGAGCAGGTCCGAAGAAGGGCAACAACGCTTGTGAAGGGCAATGGCTTGTGCCCTATGAGAACAGACTGAAGGAACTGGGGCTGTTTAGACTGGGGAAGAGGAGGCTGAGGGGAGACCTTATTTTTCTCTCCCAATATCTGAAAGGTGCTTACAGCGAGAGCGGGGTTGGTCTCTTCTCACTGGTGACAGGACAAGGGAAAATACCTCAAGTTGCTACAGGCTAAGTTTAGGTTGGATATCAGGAAAAACTTATTTACAGAAAGGGCGTTTAAGCACTGGAATAGGCATGCCAGAGAGGTGGCTGAGTCACCATCCTGGCTGTGTTTAAAAACCGTTTGGATGTGGTGCTCAGGGACACCATTTAGCAGAGGGTTGTTAGAGTTAGGGCAGTATGGTCAGGTTGTGGTTGGACTTGATGATCTTTAAGGTCTTTTCCAACCTGAGCGATTCTATGAAACAGAAGAAAGCAAAGCTATTTCCACTGATTTTCAAACAATTGTAGCAAATTATTTTGCTGCAAGTCAAATGCAAGCAACAGATAACTACAGTGACATCCAGAGCAAATTATTGTCCAGGACCACATCCAGGCAGCTTTTGAAAATCTCCAAGAAAGAGACTCTACAACATCTCTGAGCAACCTGTGCCAGTGCTCTGTTAATCACACAGCACAGAAGTGTTTCTGGATGGTCAGATAGAGCCTCCTTGTGCCCTTGTTATGCAACTGGGCACCACCTAATGGTCTGGTTACTTCTTCTTATGCACCTTCCTGTCAGGTATTTTTAGGCATTGATAAAATTACCTCCAAGCCTTCACTTCTCTAGGTTAAATAGTGGTTCAAAGTTGTAGGAAAAAACATTTTATAATGAGATTTCAGCTCTTGTTAATAATATTCTGTAAGAATACAAACATTTTGATGTTTGTGAAGCATGTAAAAAGTTTTACCAGAAGGACCGTGAAACTCAAAAAATTAGAACACAGAGCAGGATCAAACTGATTTGCAAAATTCTCTTCTCCAAGGCCTAACTTTCCATGTCGCCCATCTCCAAAAGTAAACATGAGGCCATTTTCTGTATGTGGAAAAAAGGATGTTATTAAAAACAGAGATTCAATAGGACAAAAACATAAAAACATTACAAAGTAACAGGCCAAGAAAGTAAGGAATGTTTCTCTCCCAGAAGAAAAAAACTGAACAATTATTTTTAGATTCCCAACAGATGGATATACTCTAAAAATATGCATACTTTCAGACAAAGGACTGTCTAAGATTAGAGTTAGTCTAGACAATTATGAAAAGAAAAAAATAAGAAAGAAACAGTAACACTGAAACTGTGCAGCAAAACAAAAGCTTCTAAACAAGACTACTTGTTAACAAGATGTGATTATGAGGACACAGTTCCCCAGGAGATATCATATACAGAACTATGCAGCAATCCCTTAAACTGATTCTGGCTTTGTCATTATCTTAGTTAACCTTTACAACTAATAACTTCGCATATGCCTTCTTCTACTCCTTGTTTTATAGCATATACTTCAAATATACATTTTATAATGCATACTTCAAAAATACTTCAACAGTTTAGAGAAACTAAGCACGCATTTCAGAATTTTTTCATTTACATACCTGCTATTACAGCAGTGTGACTCTCCCCACATGTAACGTTATGTATTTTACATTTCCTCAAGTGTTTCACAGACTTTGGTACGGAAGTTTTAAAAAGTAAAGTGCCATGTCCCAGCTGCCCATACTGTCCAAGTCCAAATGTATACACACCTGTTTCTGAAAATGTACAGGCAAAGTTAGCCACAGATATGCCACTATCTACATAATAACCCACTTTTATTAACTAAATGGAAGCCAAAAGACATCAGCATCAAAAAGCACCATTTCATCAATTTAAAAATGAGCAAAAAATGAACTTATCAATTAACTAAACAAACTAAAAACAAAACAAAACAAACAAAAAACAAGAAATGAAGACCCAAAATATACACAGAAAAGAATTGTGGATGGTTCAATATGTAATATTTCTAACATAACTGTAAAATAAACTACAGATTTCACATACACAATATATTAGCTAGCACAAAATGTTATTGGGCTTTTATGAACCACAATTAAGTCAAGACTACAGTGTTTACATATATACGCATTTTCAAGCCTCATCTTAATTTCTGGTTACCTACATGTATACCGTATGACTCCAAATTTAATAGTGCCCTTTAAACTACAACTAATTGGTGTGGAAGATCCCCGAACAGTAACTGAACAGGGTTCAGTAATGTCTGTCTCTATCAAATCAACCCTGCATTAAACACAGAGAACACTATAATTGTGTTATCTTGTTGCAGAATAATAAACTTTCCACATTTTTTTTCCATTCAATAGATTGATTTGTCAGGAAAAAGAATGTGGTCTACAAGACACTAAAGATTCTTGATGCGTCCATCCTTGGCAGTCCATCACAACAGAGGAAGACTGCAAAACTTAGAAAACTTGATGAGGTCATTACTGAAAAGAAAAATTCAAACACCAACTATTTTCGGAAAAATAAATTTTCTTGGAATTTTACTCCCCCCTTGCAATTAGTCAACAGAGGAAAAGTTAGAAAAGTACTGATTAAAACTTGCAAAAATTTCATGTAAATCTATGAAAGATGGGGAAGGACAAAACTGTTCTACCTCAAGCAAAACAAAAACCAAAAAACTGAAACCTGGGAGAAATATATATATATATATTGTTGCCATGAACATACTGTAGAGCAGTCATCGGGTCAAGAATCTCAGTATCTTCAAAACAGGAATGATCATTCAAAGCTGAATGCGTTGAACAACAATTTGAAGGAGAATCTTTCTCTTTTAAGTACTTCTTTGTGCCAAGGAAACAAGGTAATTGGTCCTGCTATGCTGGACCTTGTCCTCACCAACAAGGAGAAGCTAATGAACAATAAATTCATGGGCAACCTTGGCTGCAGTGATTACAAAATGGTGGAGTTCAAGATCCTTAGGGGGTCAAAGAGGGTATGCAGGAAGCTTGCTACTCTGGACTTCAGAAGGGCAGACTTTGAACTCTTCAGGGAACTGCATGGCAGGGTGACAGGGGATAAAGCCCTAGAGGGAAAAGGGGCCTAGGAAAGCCAGTCAACTTTCAAGGACCATCTCCTCCAAGTCCAGAACTAGTGCATCTTGAGAAAGAGGAAAGCGGGCAAGAATGCCAGGAAGCCTCTGCAGATCACCAAGGAGATCATGGACTTACTTTGGTCTAAAGTCTATGGGAAGTGGAAGCAAAAACAAGTTACCTGGGAGGACTACAAAGAAGTAGTCTGAATAGCCAGAGATCAGATTAGGAAAGCTAAAAGTTGCAGTCAATGGCTCAGTGTCCAAGTGGAGACCAGTGACAAGTGGACTTCCTTACTGATCAGTGCTGGGACCGGTGTTATTTAACATCTTTGTAGGTGACATGGACAGTGGGATGGAGTGCACCCTCAGCAAGTTTTTAGATGACACCAAGATGAGCAGTGTAGTTGACATGCTAGAGGGAAGGAATGCCATCCAGAGGGCTCTGGACAGGCTTGAGAGGTGGGCCCATGCCAACCTCATGAAGTTCAACACCTCATGAAGTTCCTGCACCTGGACTGGGGTAATCCAAGCTCAGATAGAGGTTGGGTGGAGAATGGCATGAGAGTAGCCATGAGGAGGAGAAGAATTTGTGCGTATTGGTTGTTGAAAGACTCAACATCAGCCAGCAAGGTGCACTTGCTGCCTGGAAGGCCAAACATGTCCTGGGTTACATCAAAAAAAGGGCAACCAGCAGGGGAAGTGATTCTGCCCTGTACCTTGCTCTCATGAGACACCACCTGGAGTACTGTATCCAGTACTAGGGCCCCCAACTGAAGAAGGACATAGGATTGTTGGAACAGGTCCAGAGGAGGGCCATGAAAACGATCAGAGGACTGGAGCATCTCCTCTACAAAGACAGGCTGACAGAGCTGAGGCTCTTCAGTCTGGAGAAGGCTCCTGGGGACCTTATAACAGCCTTCTAGTACCTGAAGGGGGCCTACAGGAAAGCCGGGGATGGACTTTTATAAGGGCATGTAGCAACAGGATGAGGGGAAATAGCTTAGAAGTGGAAGAAGGTAGATTTAGACTACGTATTAGGAAGAAATTCTTAACTGTGAGGGAGGTGAGACACTGGAACAGGTTGCCCAGGGAGGTTGTGGATGCCTCCATCCCGGAGGCATTCAAGGCCAGGCAGGATGAGGCTTTGAGCAACCTGGTCTGGTGGGAAGTGTCCCCGCCTATGGCAGGGGGGTGGAACTAGATGATCTTAAAGGTCCCTTTGAACCCAAATCATTGTACAATTCCTTTAATAGCCAATTAAATTCAATGCCACAGAAGTAATTTATTCAGTGTCACTTTTTTGTTGTTTCTCTTGGAACAGCCACAGACTGGAAAAATATTAAAAACAAACTATGTTACCGTTCCCCCAGACTCACCTTTCACTACTGTCAGGGAAAGAGAAAGAAGAGAATGGGACAGATTTGATATTACTACCACAGTAACACACTTATTAATTTACACTGAACTTCAATTTCAAAGGAGTCTTGACTTAATACCATAAGAGTAAATACAGAAGTTTTCCTTCTAGAAATAAGATTGCCATTTCTGCCTCTCTCAGAATTGTTCCAATCAAAGATAATGAATTTATTGCATAAAAAAAGAATATGGATTCATGCTATTTTAGATTGGAAATGCAAAATACTTTGTCAAAGTCATTTACCTACTAAATGTAATAGTAAAGCTCCCTCTACTGGAAATATCAGTGCAAGAAGGTAACGTCTGAAGGAATCTTTATAAAGTAAAACTTTGTATTAGATTTTTTTTTCTATGACATTTAGACATTCTGAGTAAGAGCCAATAAATAACTCCTGAAAGATAGCTCAGTCTAAGTGAACTGAAGAAACCTTATCTTCAGTTTAAGAAACAGCTTCCTTGGGATGGCTGATTCTGTAAATCCTATTTAAGAGTATGTAATTTGTCTTAACTGATCTTTGAGAAGCAGGTCTTGTCATTTTCATATTTTGAAAGAACTTAAGAGTTGTACAGGAAATATTTTCTTTCCCTGGATGCTACTGACAATGAGAACAGAGCAATCCAAAACCAACTTACATTGCCTTTATAAGAAGAATGAATTTTTCTTCTGCTTTTCTGCACCATTGCTATCTACATTTTTCTCCTAACATTTTTATTAGTCAGTACCAAGGTATAGAAAAACAAAAATTTTACTACATTCTTAAATGAGGCCAGACCTCAGTAATAACAACACTTAGCAAAAACAGGGATAAACAGAAGCCTATTGCAAAGAAATCTCAAAGACTTCATGACAAAAAGACAGAGCTGAACTACATTCCGAGTTTGATTTTGCAAGCAGGTTTGCAAATAACATTAATCCAAAAAGGGATACAGTTGCATTGTTACCTCCCTTCTGTCCTCAGTTTTAATAGTGATACGGTAAGATGAGACAAGTGGAACGCACTGCCACCAAAGGCACAGATGTCACTTCTCCATTAAATCCCTGCTTACATTTTGTTTGCAGTTCACCTACCTGCAAAGAAAGCCAGCTCAGCTCAGCAAGCCAGATTTGTTTTGTTCTGCTTATTAACTGATACGGTTTCCTGTGGAATGGTGAAGACAGCACCAGAATGACAAGGTGACAGGAAAGACACGTGACCACAGCAGCGTGAGGGGAAGATCCAACTCTTCAGTGAACTATGAGGATGGCTCAGTCATATTAACAGCACTCAGAGGAAAGAAAGTGAAAGTCCTTGGTTTCTTGAGCACTGGGACTGCTTCTCTTTGACTTTGAAAAAAAATATATATATTTATATACAAATATATATATATACACATAATGTATATATAGAAATATATGTGTAAAAATCCACATAAACATTATGTGTATATATATTTATATATATATATATTATTTATATTATATATATATATATATAATAAATATATAAATATTTGGAAGAGCAGGGATATTTCCAATTAACTGTTTTTGAAAGGGTTTAGTCTACCTTTACAGGTATCCTCTGGATTACATACCAACTCCTTAACCTCAGTGACAGCTGTCATTATACATGAAATTTTCCTAAGCAAGAATACAGTTTTCAGATTTTTTTCTTTTTAGCATGGACTATTTACTGAGAGAACTGAGGGCACACCAAGAGTCTTTTTCTTCAGATCCAAGCATCCCTACTTACATATTTAAGGTTACATACAAATGATGAATTTTCAGAAGAATAACAGAAACACAGATAAGCCCACAGATCTCCATATATCTTCATTTCATTTCACTTGGACGTTATCACTGTCAATGAGCCATTCAGCTACACTACAACTTTAGTTTTGAACAGCTTCTGGTGAAAAAAGTTACTGTAAAAATCAGCTGTTGACATAATGCTCAGTTTTACCACAGCTGGTAATAGGATTGGGGGATTTCAGTATAAATAGTATACAGACTTAAGAATGGTTTGAAAAATCTAGATAATCCTATATGGTTTGAACAGTATCTCAGTTCTATCATCAGAAAGGAGAGCTGTTTCCTCCTTTTATTCTCTTTGGAAAGGTTCTCTTGGCTTTTTTTTTTTTTATATATAAAGAAAAGGTCCTTTTAAAGGACCTTGGGACAGAATATGAAAAATCCAACATTTTACATGTTAACACACTAATGTGCTGTATTGTAATGTCAAATGATGTATTCTTGAAGGACTATTC